GGGTGACTTGATCTTTCTCTCTGGCTGCCCTTAATATTTTCTCCTTCGTTTCGATCTTGGTGAATCTAATGATTATGTGCCTTGGGGTTGGTCTTCTTGAGGAATATCTTTGTGGTGTTCTCTGTATTGCCTGGGGTTGAATAGTGTCCTGCTTTGCTAAATTAGGAAAATTTTCCTGGATAATGTCCTGGAGAGTATTTTCCAGCTTGACTTCATTCTCTCCGTCACATTCAGGTACACCAATCAAGCGTATATTAGGTCTTTTCACATAGTCCCATATTACTTGGAGACTTTGCTCATTCCTTTTTATCCTTTTTTCTCTATTCTTGTCTTGTCGTTTTGTTTCATTAAGTTGGTCTTCGACCTCTGATACCCTTTCTTCTGCTTGATCCATTCGGCTGTTTAAGCTTGTACATATTTCACTAAGTTCTCGTGTTGTATTTTTCAACTCCATAAGTTCATTTGTATTCCTCTCTATATTGTCTATTCTTTTCAACATTTCATCGAACCTTTTTTCCAAGTTCTTAGTTTCTTTACATTGGGTTAGAACAAGTTCCTTTAACTCCAAGAAGTTTCTTATCATCCACCTTTTAAAGCCTACTTCAGATAATGGAACACAGTCCTTTTCCATCAGGGCTTGTTCCGTTACTGATGAGTCCTTTTCCATCAGGGCTTGTTCCGTTGCTGATGAGTCCTTTTCCATCAGGGCTTGTTCCGTTGCTGATGGGTTCTGATTTTGAGTATACTAGGCCTTCTTAGGCTGTTTTTTTCCCTTCATTGTAGATGAACCGCCTTTCTAATTAGGTTTCTGAGTCGACATCCGACTTATTGATTCCCAGTGCTGGGATCCGAGCAACCCACTGTGGCGGCCTAAATAGCAGCGATAAGACTGATGGTGCTCTTCTGCCCGGGAATCTCTGGTCTGGCTTCCCTCTTGAGTCCGCAACAAGCGGCTCTGACTTCCCGGAGCTCCAAACTCCGGTCAGTAGGGGAAGCAGGCCCGTTGGCTCTGCATGAAGAGCTGCTGCGCCGAGACGCCGGCCAAACCGCTGCGGGGGCCACAAGAGTCGCGCTGGCGACCTGTGGGGCTCCTCCACTGGGAATCGGCTAATCGGTGAGTGACGAAAATTCGTCTAAAGTTGTGGCGTCGTCTCGTTCTCTGAGCTTTCACTGGGAGCTACAATCCTGAGTTGTTAGTGGTCGGCCATCTTGGATCGATCGGTCTCAATCTCTTGACCTCGTGATCCACCCGCCTCGGCCTCCCAAAGTGCTGGGATTACAGGCTTGAGCCACCGTGCCCGGCCCTTATAAATTATTAAGTGAATGAATCTATGAATGAATAAATGAAGGCAAAGCATGAAAAGCAAATGATTATACTGTAGAGATTATTAATAAGTTCAGTAGTTGTCCTTAGCTACATGTGGGTCATTGTTCTAAGGGGTCTAACTCATTGTTCTAAGTCTTAACTCATTATTATTACCTCTATTTTTACAAACGAGGCACAACAACAGAGTAACTAGTTCAAGGTCACACCATTAAGATGTAGATCAAGGATTCAAATTCAGACACAGTCTGATTTCAAAGCCTATGCTTTTATCCACTGTGATATAGATTTCTATGAAATGCCATTTGAAAATATACATTTTAAAAGTACTTAAGCTGAGTTCTAAATCAGATATGTAAAAGATTGTAAAAATTCAGGACAATAGCCTTTTTTTTTGATACGGAGTTTTGCTCTTGTTGCCCAGGCTGGAGTTTAATGGTGCAATCTCGGCTCACTGCAACCTCCACCTCCTGGATTCAAGCCATTCTCCTGCCTCAACCTCTCGAGTGGCTGGGATTACAGGCATGCGCCACCACGCCAGGCTAATTTTGTATTTTTAGTAGAGATAGAGTTTCTTCATGTTTGGTCAGGCTGATCTTGAACTCCTGATCTCAGATGTTCTGCCTGCCTCACCCTTCCAAAGTGCTCGGATTACAGGCATGAGTCACTGAGCCCAGCCAGGACAATAGACTTTTTAAAAATTCAGGACAATAGACAATATTCCATTCTTGGAATATAAAAGTTATCCACCAGTCCACGAGCATGGGATATCTTTCCATTTATTTGTGTCTGCTTCAATTTCTTCCATTAATATTGTACAGTTTTCAGTGTCCAGGTCTTTCTTCCTCCTTGGTTAAATTTACTCCTAAGTATTTTTTTCTTGTAGCTATTTTAAGTGAGATGGTTCTCTTTATTTTATTTTTGGAATGTTCATTGAACATTAGTGTTGTTAAAAGTCCATACTACCTAAAGCAATCTATAGATTTAATGTAATCCCTATCAAAATTCCAATGTCATTTTTCATAGAAATAGAAAAAATAATTGTAAAATTCATATGGAACCACAAAAAACTGGAATTGCCAAGGCAATCATGAATGAAAGAACAAAGCTGGGGGCATCATACTATCTTATTTCAAATTACACTACAAAGCAATAGTAATTAAAACAGCATGATATGAGCATAAGCACAGACTCATTCATTGACCAAGGGAAGAGAATAGAGAGCCCAGAAATAAATTCACACATGTATGGTCAATTGATTTTTGACAAGGGTGCCACATGTACACATTGGGAAAAGGACAATCTTTTCAATAAATGTTGTTGAGAAAACTGAAAACCCATCTGCAGAAGAATGAAACTGGACCCTTACCTCACTCAACATAATAAAAATTCACTCGGCTGCGAGCGGTAGCTCACTCCTGTAATCCCAGCACTTTGGGAGGCCAAGGTCGGTGGATCACCTGAGGTCAGGAGTTTGAGACTGACCTGGCCAACATGGTAAAACACCGTCTCTACTAAACATACAAAAAATTTAGCTGGGTGTGGTGGCACGTGCCTGTAATCCCAGCTACTCGGGAGGCTGATGCAGGAGAATTGCTTGAATCAGGGAGTTAGAGGTTGCACTGAGCCAAGATTGCTCCACTGCACCTAGCCTGGGCAACAGAACGAGACTCTGTCTCAAAAAAAAAATTAACTCAAAAGACTTAAGATTGGAAACTATAAAACTATTAGAAGACAACGGGAGAAAAACCAAACGGGATTACATCAAAATAAAAAGCTTCTGCACAACACAGAAAACAACTGACAGAGTAAAGAGACAACTTACGGACTGGGGGATAATAACTGCAAGCCGTATGTCTTATAAGGGGTTAGTATATAAGATACATAAGGACCCTAAATAACTTTATAGAAAGAAAACAAATAATCTGATTTTTAAATGGGCAAGGAACCTGAATAGCTATTTCTCAAAAGAAGGCATACACATGGCCAACAGACATATAATGTTCAATATACTAACAACCATTAAGGAATTGCAAACTAAAACCACAATGAGATATCCCCTCATACCTGTCAGAATGGCTATTATCAAAGGGGCAAAAGATAAAGAATGTTGGTATGAATGCAGAGAAAAGGGAACCTTATTACGCTGTTGGTGGGAATGAAAATTAGCACGACCACTATGAAAAACAGTGTGGAGGTTCCCAAAAAAACTGAAAAGGGAATTGTTATATGATCCAGCAATCCCACTTCTGAGTATTTACCAAAAAGATCTGAAATCAGTATGTGAAAGAGATATCTGCACTCCCACATTCACTGCAGTAGTATTTAGGATAGCCAAGTTATGGTACCAATTTATATGTCCATCAACAGAAAAATGGATAAAGAAGATATGGCATATATACACAACGGACACTATAAAGCCTTAAGGAAAGAAATTCATTTGTGACAACATGAATGTAACTGGAGAACACTATGCTAAGCAACATGAGTGGACACAGAAAGATAAATACTGCATATTCTTACTTACATATGGAATCTAAAACAATGAAGTCAACAGAAGCAGAGTAGAATGATAGTTATCAGAAGCTGCGTAGGTGGGACGATGGTCAAAGGGTAAAAAGCTTCAATTAGACGGGAGGAATAAGGTTTTTTTTTGGTGACATACTGTAAAGCATGATGAATATAATAATGTATTGCATATTTCATAATCACTGAGAGCAAATTTCAAATGTTCACCACAAAAAAATATACAAGCATGTAAGATGGATATGTTAATTCGCTCGATTTAATTATTCCACTTTGTATGCCATAAAAATATACATAATTATAATTTGTCAATTTATAATTTAAAAAATTAAAAAAAAAGTTATTCTAATAATTTATCCAAGGAGAATAATCTAAATTCAAGAAATGAGATTGAATTTGAGAATTTTCCTTCACACAAAACACTGAATTTTTTTTTTTTTTTTTTTTTTGAGATGGAGTTTTACTCTTGTTACCCAGGCCGGAGTGCAATGGCGCGATCTCGGCTCACCACAACCTCCGCCTCCTGAGTAGCTGGGATTACAGGCACGCGCCACCATGCCCAGCTAATTTTTTGTATTTTTTTTTTTTTTAGTAGAGACGGGGTTTCACCATGTTGACCAGGATGGTCTTGATCTCTTGACCTCATGATCCACCTGCCTCGGCCTCCCAAAGTGCTGGGATTACAGGCTTGAGCCACCACACCCAGCCTTTAACAATTTTTTATATTTTTAATTTTTTTAAAAAGTATTATTGTTATTTTAAAGAAATGGAGTCTCACTATGTTACCCAGGCTAGCTTTGAACTTCTGGGCTAATGTGATCCTCCTGCCTGGGCCTCCCAAAGTGCTGGGATCACAGGTGTGAGCCATGGTGTCCAGTCGACACTGTATCTTTGATAGTACTTCACCTTATAACAAAAATGAATAGGATAAAATGCCTGCCAACACTAATTCATAGTAAAATTTTCTTTTACTTGTTTTTTTTTAAGATGGGGTTTCACCATGATGGCCAGGCTGGTCTTGAACTCCTGACCCCAGGTGATCCGCCCACCTTGGCCTCCCAAAGTGCTAGGATTACAGGCGTGAGCCACTGCACCCGGCCCTAATGCAATTGTGACAGAGCCCGGATGTTTGACAGTACTGACGTCTTACCTTTTCTTTTTGCTTATGATCATATCCATGGTTTGCAGCAGTCGGCGTTCCAGGGCTAGAATATCGGTGTCAGTCACATTCCTACAACAAGCATAAACTGTTAGTAAAATGTTTTGGGGTCCCACTCTTGGGCACGATACAGGTTATCTGGAGACACACATAAACTTCAACTGTTACTACTTTTTTCTACAAAATAATAAAATGACCATAATAAACTAAAATGCTTTTGCTCTCATTTCTTATAGCTAATCCTCTGGGATCTCAGGGAAATGGAATTTACCCAGCTGTCTTACGGTTTTTCTTAGCTTTGATCCAGTGACATTTATATACATATATATATTTATTTTTATTTTTAAAAATATCTTTTTTTTAAAATCATACTTTAAGTTCTGGGATACATGTGCAGAACGTGCAGGTTTGTTACACAGGTATACATGTGCCATGGTGGTTTGCCACACCCATCAACCCATCATATTTATCTTTTTTGTTTTTGTTTTGAGACGGAGTTTCGCTCTTATTGCCCAGGCTGGAGTGCAATGGCACAACCTTGGCTCACTGCAACCTCCACCTCCCGGGTTCAAGGGATTCTCCTGCCTCAGCCTCCTGAGTAGCTGGGAATATAGGCATGTGCTACCATGCCTGGCTAATTTTGTGAACTTTTAGTAGTGATGGGGTTTCACCACGTTGGTCAGGCTGGTCTCGAACTTCTGACCTCAGGTGATCTGCCCACCTTGGCCTCCCAAAGTGCTGGGATTACAGGCATGAGCCACCATGTCCAGCCCAACCCGCTGTATTTTTCTATGAAAGAGTCCTGCTCTGTCACCCAGGCTGGAGTGGAGTGGCAGGATCTTGGTCAGTGACATTTAGAATGTATGTTTAAGCACACTTTTAAGTTGGCATTGTCTTCTCCTGTTCTATTAAAACTCTAGCAGAACTAAACTGCTGAAGTTGGGGTTAGTTTATACTGCTGGTCACTAGAAATGTGCCTTTAAAAAGTGGGAGGGGAGCGTAGGATTCAAATTTGCCATTTAAAAAATAATAGAACGTAGCACAAATAATAAAGGAAAGCAACACAAGTGATAAGACTTATTTAGAAAGACTTCCAGGTCAATGCCCATAGGGATAGAGGAAGAGAAGAATAAAAAGACAGGGTCATAGATCTAATACATAATCTTAAAGACGGTGGCATAATATGACATGTATTCAAGAAGTAATGGGGCAAAGAAGAAAAGCTGCAAAGTGCTCTGTTACCTGAGGAAGTAAGACATGTAAGTGTATGGGCAGTTGACAGCACCAAATCCAGAAAGAAGAGCCATGAGGGTCACTCCAATCACACCAACCCGGCTGATGAGCTGTTCGATGGATAAAATCCCTACAAACATCAGGGTACATTAATGCCAGGTAATGTAGATAAAATGGCTCTCATCTGCACTGCAAAAGGAAGCATCACTGAAAACACCAAGCAGTACACATAACGAACTCGTACAAGCCAACTTTTAATTATTAATGTGTAGATTATCTTTTTTTTTTTTTTTTTTTTTTACAGTCTCGCACTGTCGCCCAGGCTGGAGTGCAGTGGCGTGATCTTGGCTCACTGCAACCTCCACCTCCTGGGTTCAAGCGATTCTCCTGCCTCAGCTTCCCGAGTAGCTGGGACTACAGGCGCATGCCACCATGCCCAGCTAATTTTTTTGTATTTTTAGTAGAGACGGGGTTTTTACCATGTTGGTCACTCTGATCTTGAACTCCTGACCTCGTGATCCGCCCGTCTTGGCCTCCCAAAGTGCTGGGATTACAGGCGTGAGCCACTACACCCGGCCAATGTGTAGATTATCTATAATAAATATACTAGAAGTTTACTGATTTTCCTCTTGTCCCATATGCTTCACAGTGATGTCTTTTATTGGCTGATGGCAGTAAAATAACAACAACAGTAATTATAAATAACGGTCACTGACTGTTCACTCTTGGTAACATGAATGCTAACAAAGCAAAGTACTTTTGGTAAAAACAGCAAAGAAATGAGGAAAGTAAATCTTCTGGAAATACTTTGTGCTAGTTATCTTTGATACATATATATTTCCCCTAAGGTCATACTCTTCTGCTTTTGTCTTTTTTGCATCTGTGTTTATTAACACAGAATTCATCTAGTAAATGGGCTAAGCTTATAGATGAATGAGAAATTCAAAGGCAAACACATCAGTTGTAGATGATAAATTGTCTCTTAATTATTAATTGTTTCATATCACTTGAGAATGCTGAAAATCAATTTAGCAGTTAAATACCGCTGGCTGATGTCCTCGGGATAAATGAGAGAAAGCAATGCTGAAGAATAACTCAGGAAGTTTGGCATTGCAGAAAAAACAGTTTTAATTGGTTTTCACTTCCTATTTCTGGAATAGAATTCACTTCAGCCATTCACTCCTATGGTCAAATGCCAGAGTTACAATTCAGGAATTCTGTCAGCCTCAAAACTGAAAATTCCAACATTCCTTTTCTGACCCCTGCCGCCCTTCCTAGCTTTCAAGTTCCCTTTCTCCTTTATTTGCGCTACACTCGTTCTAGAGGTCAGTGAGACCTCTGGTCTTCTGCTTCCCCATTCTTCACCCAGCCTGGACTCCGGGCTTGCTGGCTTCAAATTCTCTCACCAGGACCCTCAATCTCCTACTATCTTCCTTCTGAAACGCTAATCCTACAAACTCCCAACTCTGGATCAGTTTAACACTCTGCCTTCCCTGTGCCCATGTCTTGCTGCTGAAAATTGCTAGAATTCATACTGATTTTGGAGCCATTACAGATTTATGCTCTTCAGTCCTAAGAGAGCTCTCACACTACTGACTAATCCTTATCTTGCCTTTGGTCAGCCATCTCTTCCCATCTTCCTCAGCAGTTACTCTTTATTTTTCCTACCTGTGTCCTTCTCTTGCCAATGCCCTTACTATAAAAAACATCAGCTATTAGATATAAATTACCTTCACTCCACTACAAACTACCTTCGCTCTACACTATGGTCATGAATTTTCTACTGGTCGCAAAATTCACCATTTTCCAAGCCTTGTTTTACTGGCTCTTGCATGACATTGGATCATTTTTGTTTAAAATTATTTTATCGGCCAGGCGCGGTGGCTCAAGCCTGTAATCCCAGCACTTTGGGAGGCCGAGGCGGGTGGATCACGAGGTCAAGAGATCGAGACCATCCTGGTCAACATGGTGAAACCCCGTCTCTACTAAAAACACAAAAAATTAGCTGGGCATGGTGGCGCGCGCCTGTAATCCCAGCTACTCAGGAGGCTGAGGCAGGAGAATTGCCTGAACCCAGGAGGCGGAGGTTGTGGTGAGCTGAGATCGCGCCATTGCACTCCAGCCTGGGTAACAAGAGCGAAACTCCGTCTCAAAAAAAAAAAAAAAAAAAAATTATTGTATCTTCTTGGCTTCCACAACACCATTTCTCTAGGTTTTCCCTTTCACTTCTCTAATTGCTTTTTCTCGGTCACTTCTTGCTCTGTATGGACCAGAGTTCTCTTTCATTTCAGTATACACATTTTTTGCTTGGGTAATCTCACCAATTTCCTCAGCATTACTGATGGCATTTAGCTGATGATTTCTAGTTGTTTAGATTCCTGGAGTCGTCTCTATGAGGACTAATACATTTCTACCTTTTCCCTAAGCTCCTGATTTGTACATCCGATTGCTTATTTAACATCACCTGGATATGCATAGGTAACTTAAATTCAGCATATACCAAATTAAAATTATCTTTCCCCTCACCTGTCTTAGAATGACATAATCAACTATCGAGTCACCGTAACAATAAAATCTATACAATTACTCCCCATTCTATCTCTTGCCTTTCCTTAAATACACCAAGGTCTTTCTACCCCAGGGCTTTACATGATGTCTTTGTTTTTTTTTGAGACAGTCTCGCTCTGTCGCCAGGAGCCAGGCTGGAGTGCAATGGCGCGATCTCAGCTCACTGCAAGCTCCGCCTCCTGGGTTCAAGCAATCCTCCTGTCTCAGCCTCCTGAGTAGCTGGGACTACAGGCCTGCACCACCACACCCAACTAATTGTTTGTATGTTTAGTAGAGATGGGGTTTCACCATGTTGGTCAGGATGGTCTCGATCTCTTGACCTCGTGATCTGCCCGCCTTGGCCTCCCAAAGTGCTGGGATTACAGGCGTGAACCATTGCACCCGGCCTGCGTGATGTCTTTTGTGCCTTCTTACTGGGTCTTCCTTTGGTCTTGTCCTTTAAATCTCAGCTTAAATATCACCGTGTCAGAAAGAATGGATCTAACTTCTTGCACTAATTTTTCTGCATTTTTCTCTATCACAGCAACCTGTTTGCTCTTTGAGGACAATGATCACAACTGGCAATTCTTTATTTACATATTTAGCTCTTTTTCGTCTAGTTCCACCCACAAGACTATAAATTTCAAGAGGGCAGAAACCAAGTTTGTTTTGTGATTTGTTTCCAGTGCTTAACATAAAGTAGATGCTCAATAAATATCTGTGTAATGCTACGTGAACGAACAAATCCTCACCTAAATTCCGTTGATTCTACTTTCCATGTATCTCTTGAATTTGCAACCCTTTTACAAGAAGAAATCATGTCTTACTAATCTTTGTTTTCCTTACTGCCTGGCACATGGAAGGTGTTCAACAAATGTTTGTTGAGTATAGTATCACTCAGGAACATAGAAAAATCCAAGGGACTAATATGGGTTATTAAATACGAAAAACTGAAAAAGATTCGCCCTCTACCTTTATTCCTTTTAACATGGTGGTGGGTCTTTGTCCTTTTTTTACACATCTTTTTCTGGTTGTAGATGCTATTTACTTAATCTCAGCATTTCTATGAAGAGTCAGTCATTATTATCTTCATTTACCAGTTGACACATGGAAAGTCAGATGAATAAGGAGACTGGCAGAGGACCATCTCACCTTTGACAGCTGCTCAGATTCGATTCCTTACAGTCTTTTGTAATCTCTTACTCTTTCCCACTAAGGACATTCCAAGGGTCAGGGACTGCACGAGAAGTACTTTTATAGATTTTTTAAAATTATAAGTAAGAATTTTTTTTTTTTTTTTTTTTGAGACACAGCCTTGCTCTGTTGCCAGGGGCCAGGCTAGAGTGCAGTGGCATGATCTTGGCTTACTGCAACCTCCATTTTCCAGGTTCAAACAATTCTCCTGACTCAGCCTCCCGAGTAGCTGGGACCACAGGCGTGAACCACTACGCCCAGCTAATTTTTGTACTTTTTGGTAGAGAAGGGGTTTCACCATGGTCTCGATCTCTTGATCTCGTGATCTGCCCAACTTGTCCTCCCAGAGTGCTGGGATTATAGGCTCGAGCCACCGCGTCCGGCCTTTTTTTTTTTTTCCTGAGACAGAGTCTTGTTCTGTCTGGGGACTGGAGGGCAGTGGCATGATGTTGTCTCACTGCAACCTCAGCCTCCTGGGTTCAAGCAATTCTTGTGTTTCAGCCTCCTGAGTAGCTGGGATTACAGGCATGCGCCACCATATCTGGCTAATTTCAGTATTTTTAGTAGAGATGGGGTCTTGCCATGTTACCCAGGCTGGTCTCTAACTCCTGGCCTCAAGTGATCTCCCTGTCTTGGCCTCCCAAAATGCTGAGATTACAGATGTGAGCCAGTGTGCCCAGCCCATTTTTTTTTTAGTCTCCAGAGCAATAAATAACCACACTGGTTGCTGGGACAGTCCTGGGAAAGCTCTGAGAAGGTAGTGTAAGGTTGGCTACTTCTCAGCTACCAGCTAAACTTTTCTAACTCCTTACTTCTCTTAGAGGGTTAAATAAATTAAGATTCCTGAATATTCAAGCATAAAACTGTAATGACTATTGGAGTACTATGGAAAAAATAAAACAAATTATCTCCCTAGCTTTCTCCCTCAGTGTCCTTTTCAGAATAATCCCATAGAATTTAGAAAAAGGGGTTGATGAAAGGACAATAGATACTACGGCCTTCATCTTCCCTCTGGCATGGCCTGGCCGCACTGGTCATGTGAGCTGAATGCACATAGGAGAAAGCTGGAGAAAGGTGTCAGAGTCAGGTCTCTGTACTGCATGTGACCCTGTGTTTGCCCCGTCAGCAGCCCTCCCTAGGGGCCTTTTGTAACTTTTCTCTCTGACTTCTACCATCACAAATAAATCTGCCTGTCTGTGGGTTTATTTGAAATAGGTTTATATGAGGACTACACTAGCAGGGCTCTTTAGTCCAAGTCTTTTTCGACCACTGGCATAGGCATGCTGATCACATTAGCATTTCCTAAATTCCTATCTGGAGTGTTAAATTATTAAACTCATCTATCACTTTGGAGAGACTCCATTTTTTCCATTCACTGATTCAAAGAACATGTATTAAACACCTGTAGTATGTTAGGTTCCACAATGGGCACTGGGGATACATAAAGACAAATAACATGTAGTTTTCTGAACTCAGGCAGCTCCTGTGTTGATCAGGAAGTTGGAAAAGAAAACATTAAATTATGAGTTTTATAGATGATATAAATACCCTGAGGTGGGAGCAATTAATATCTCCTAATGATGGCCAGGAAAATCTTCTTAGAGGAACTGACGAGAGTTGAATCTAGAAAGCATAAGTAGACATTTTCTAGGTAGACTGGGGATGAAGGATTGTCCATTCTGATAAAACAGCTCTAGAAACTGAGGCCGGGTACGGTGGCTCACACTTGTAATCCCAGCACTTTGGGAGGCCGAGGTGGGTCGATCCCTTGAGCTCAGGAGTTTGAGACCATCCTGAGCAACATGGAGAAACCCCATCTCTATGAAAAAATAAAAAATTAGCCAGGTGTGGTAGCATGTGCCTGTAGCCCCAGTTACCCAGGAGGCTGAGGTGGGAGGATCACTTGAGCTCGGAAGACAGCTTTGGAGGGTGCAGTTAGCTGAGATCGTGCCACTGCACTCCAGCCTGGGTGACAGTGAGACTCTATCCACAAAGAAAAAGAAAAAAAGAGAAACTTGAAATGATTTCACAGGACTGGAGTCGGAACATGTATGGAGAGCAGTAGCCAGGTCATGAAAGGTCGTGAAAGAGTTTCAACCCTAAGAGTCTCAATGTTTTTGGTAGGCTGGTGTTAAGTTTTCCGGCCTTTAACATTATTTGAAATTTTTGAGACAGTTATTCTTATTTGAAAATATACAACTATTTATGGTACTGCATATGCTTTTCAAAACTGCATTATCTCTGACCCCACTGCTGGAGCGTCTCACAACCCTTCTCTCCTGAAATTCCTGTAATAGGCAATGAATATAAAGGGAAGGGTGTGTGGGAGGGATGGCAGATTCTCTAATAGACACTGGCTCAGTCAACATCAATTCCAATCCTATTCTAGCATTTCTTTTGGTACTGCAGAGTCTAGAAAGCCAGATGTTCTTTCTCAGACTTCCTTGAGGATAGGGTTCTAAATGTTACCTAGATTTCACCAGAGAACCAGGCCTACGGGAGGCCTCAAATGCAGCAGTGAACAATGCAGGGGTGGTGACAGCACTTAGGAACTCAAACAGCTAGGACAGAGGCCCCTGATGTCACAGACCTTGAGCGGCAAGTGATGACTTCAGTGAGGTTTTCCGGTTTGTACTGTGGCATAGTTGTGTATTTCTCTTTACTATATAGCATTTAAGCTTTGCATCCCTGCTTTCCTGGAAAGTCTCTAAATTGCCTGATACTGTATAATTTATCATTTTCTGCTTTAAATTAGTTACAGTAGATTCTGTTTTCTGCAATAAGAACCCTGATAATGGCTATGGCAGGATGGTGAATAAAGAGATGTATATTAAAACAGTTCCAGTATGAAAGCTTGAGTAGATGTATTACAGCCGGGCTCTCTAGTCTTCGTGGACAGAGTCATACATGCTTCTGAAATCGTTCTGGGACTTGCTAGCTGAGGTACTTTTGTTCATTGTTTTTACTTTAAAAACTAGGGCTCCGCCCAATTTCTTGTTTTAAAATGAACTTTTTTTGTCAGAAGGGAAACACTGATTCTTGGAAAGCTTTTCTTTATCTACTAATTGTGAGCATTTTATGTCACCTCTCCCCAAATACATATGCTTCCCTAAAGGCAATCTTTATCATCACTTAAACAGTGGCCACACAGATTTCTTTGGAAATCTGACAAAAGCTTATTGATACCTGACCTCCAAATACACATACAAATATACTGCTGCAGTTCCATATACACTATGAGTTAGACACTGTTCTTTCCTTTTACCCTTGAAGCATATTCAGTAAATGAAGGTCAAAAATTTCTACTCTAGAATAACAGAAGTGAGTTCCAAAACCAGCATTATCTCTTAATGAAGAAGAAAATGTGACTCAAAATCAGACATTTTTCAGAGAAATACCTTGCTATCCTCTTCAAAATCGGAATTTTTTTTTTCCAAATCCTAAGAACCTGTGAGTTTATTATTTTTTCCCCAAGAAATTTAATTTTTTCACATTAGAAAATTAAACAAACCTTCTTCCCCCCATCTCTGCCCTCTCATATATACTCACCATGTTTTGGGCTGAGAATGGGAAAGGGATCTCCTAGTTTCCAGAAGAAATACATAAAGGTCAGCCATAAGAGACAGGAAAAAAGCAGTCGTTGTTTATGCACTGAGACAGAGGAGACAAAACTGTTAGGAAAAATAGATATAGGTTAAACAGCTTGCTCTATTTAAAAATATAAGATAATGCTAATTAATATTTGGCTGCTAATTCACTTGGCACAAGAGTGATGAACAGTATAATTTTTAGGGAAAGCATCCTTACCACTGTAAGAAAAATTTAGCTGAGTTTAACATGTGGGATGAATTAAAGGAGACATTATTAAATAGAAAAATAAAGCTGTGGCAGAAAAAATAACCTAACCATTCACTCAATATTTACTTTGTGCCATTCATTCAATATTTATTTTATATTCATTTTTAAGATGCTGTGTGTGAGGTGTCCTCAAATAGCAGTAACCACTGGAAGTTAATGGAGAAATGAAACGATCCACAATCTCAGTTCCCTCAAATACTCATCTCAGTCTCTGTGCTGACTGAGAGGGTGAAATACTTACGCAGCTGGATGTTGCTCACAATAAAATAGCCAATGTAAAAAGGCACCATGAAAACCAGGATCAGCAGAATTACACACAGGTTCATTTTCCAGTGAAAATAACGAGAGCTGAAATGAATGTCAAAGACTGTCACTGGGAGGGAGAGAGGGCAGCAACTTTCTCTTCAGTATTCCAAAGGGTCTTTCGCTCTTTGGACTTAATATTGAACATATCCTATCTAATAAAGCTACCAGGCTCTCATAATCTACTCATTTGTAGAGATTAAAAAATATAAATTTTTGAAAGGCATATATGACTACCATTTTAACCCAAGAATTTCATATATTAAAATGTTTATGCTTTTGATATATTCATAGGCAACATATACCATTAACATATATCAACATACGCCATTGCTGGTAGAATGACAATTGTTTTACTCACCAGTAGGAATCTTATTCCAATGTAAGAATTTTGTTTTTGTTTTTTTTTCTTTTTTTTTATAGAGACGAGGTCTCGCTCTGGTGCCCAGGCTGGAGTGCAGTGGCTCTTCCCACTACTGATCAGCACAGGAGTTTTGACCTGCTCTGTTTCCAACCTGGGCCAGTTCACTCCGCCTTAGGCAACCTGGTGGTCTGCCATTCCCAGGAGGTCACCATATTGATGCCAATCTTAGTGTCCAATGTAAGAATTTAAGGAAAATAAATGCTAACAGTAATACATGCTATTAAGACTCAAAATTATTTCTTTTGTACTCTTGATATAAACACCTGATTTGCATGAATTACTTTTATTACATTTTATAAGATGTATTTTATTAAAACTTTTAGCACTTTTTAAATAAGTTTTAATGAGATATAATTTACCCATTTAAAGTTTCCATATACAATGGATTTTGTATACTCAGAGTTGTGAAATCATCACCTCAGTCAATTTTAGAACATTTTCATTACTCCATAAAGAAACCCTGTCGCCATTAGGAGTCACTCCCTGCTTCTCCCCAACCTCCTCGGCTCTAGGAAAGCAGCAATATGCTTTCTGTTTCTAGGAAGCCACCAATATGTGATCTTTTGTGACTGGCTTCTTTTACTTACCATAATGTTTGCAAGGTTCATCCGTGTTATAGTATCTACCAACAATTCCTTTGATGGTTGAAAAATATTCATCCCATTACTTTTGGCTATATTATATTTTGCTTATGTATTCATTAGGTGAAGACATTTGGGCTGTTTTTAGCTATTATAAATAGAGATGCTATGAATGTATGTGTATACATTTTGGTGTGGATGTATGTTTTCCTTTCTCTTTAGGTAGAAACGGAGTGGAATTGTTGGGTCATGTGATAAATCTATATTTAATCTTTTGAGGCACTCCTACTGTTTCCCAATGTGGCCACATCATTTTACATTTTCCTCAGCAGTGTATGAGAGTTCCACTTTCTCCTCAGCCTTGCCAACACTTGCAATTGTCTGTTTTTTTGGTTATAGCCATCTTAATGGGTGTAAAGTGGTAATCTCACTGTGGTTTTGATTTGCATTTCCTTGATGGCTAATGGTACTGGGCATCTATTCATATGTGCTTACTCACTGTTTGTATATCATCTTTGGAGAAATGCCTACTCAGATTTTTAAGTAATTTTTTAATTGTATTATATTATTGAACTGTAAGGATTCTTTATATATTCTAGATAAGAGTCCCAGTCCATTATCAGATAGGTAATTTGTAAAAATTTTCTCTTGTTCTTAAAATGTTTGTTCACTTTCTTGATGGTGTCCTTTGTATTTACTGATTTAAACTTATTTAGGCCTTGTTTCAAAAAAGGCAAAAGTGGTTAAATGGCTTATAAAGACAAATAAAATACAGGATGATGAAAAGAACTATAAGAAAAGATGAGAGAAAGAAACAACAATTGGTAACAGATAGTAAAATATTTGGCCAAACCTGATGGCTAAAATAAAACAGAATTCTAGAAACTTGCTATGGGTAGGTCATAAACTGAGGTATAAGTTTTCTAATGGTCAATGTGAAATAACAACTTTGATCCGTTAGATAAAATCATAGTGTCTGTAAGAAAATAAATTAATCGCTCAAAGGAAGAATTATCAATTTATTGTTACTGAATTATTAGCAAGATTACAGTAACATTTCTTCAAAGATTTCATAAAAAGAAAATGCAAAGGTAATTAACAGTGGCATCAACAACATCCTTTCCAGAGAAATATCTGTGGTGATCGCCCCTGCGAGAGGCTAACAACTTGGCCTCTGCCATTAGGTGAGCTTGATTCCTTACATACTTTCCCTGGCTGGAGGCTGTTGAGCTATGGGGAGGAAAAATTGGGAGAAGAATGACTAAACAGAACACTATTTTCAGCCTTCTTGGTTGATGAGATAACGGCTGGGTGAACGTTGAAGTGATTCAACTGGGTATTGTGTTCCCCTTTCTGGCTTCTAATCTTAACCAGTTCTATGACTTTGTTTACCAGGCATTGTTTCAGCCTGGTGACCTCCCCTGCGGTCCTTGTCTTTTGCAGATGCATGATTTACTGCTGAGCTTGTGACTTCTAGATAATTGAAGATTGTTATCCAAGTTACTGGTTGTTCTGATAATACTGATAATCAGCATCACCTACTTCCCCCTTGACCTTTTAAATCAGTATCTGTTCCTTTTACTAGTTCCCCAGAATTGTTTTCTGTTTCTTTTGTTATTTAAGAAATGCTTTGATTTGACTTAACATTAAGTAGAAAAGTATATAATGGAACCTACTGCACAAATAAAATTGCTGTTTGGGCATAGCCTAATCAGTCCTCCAGACCCCACTCTCTGTCTCCTTTTTTTTCCGTGCACACTCTCTTCCAGGTTTGGGACCCTCTCGCTTGACGAGATTCCCAGGCTCGCGTTCAGTTCACAACAAATATCAATGAGTTTCAGAAGGCTATTTCTTTGTTGTTGTTTTTTTAAGACAGGGTTTCACCATGTTGGTTAGGCTGGTCTTGAACTCCCGACCTCAGGTAATCTGCCCACCTTGGCCTCCCAAAGTGCTGGGATTACAGGCATGAGCCACCATGCCCAGCCAGTCTTGAACTTCTGACCTCGTGATCTGCCCACCTTGGCCTCCCAAAGTGTTGGGATTACTGGTATGAGCCACTGCACCCAGCTCACAAAGCTATTTCTTACTGTTCCTTCCTTAGTACGGATGGCAGGCATCAGAAAACAAAGAGCCTTCAGTAAAAGCTACCCTACAGGGAGTAAATATCATTTAGACTAGATATATTGACAGCTTTTTGCTCCTCTAGATTAACCTACTTTAGAGCATTTAGAGAAGGAAACAAGCTGGACATCCTCCAGGCAATCCTACATAGTATTTCAGCTAAGCTTCTGAAAGATTTTGGGAGGCAGTGGGTTTGAAATAACAAGTACAACTTTAATTGGCATATGGACTGCCAATTAAAAGTGAACCACATGCTTTAACTAGTCTTTTGAGCTGAGAGTAAAGTGATATTCTCTTAAAAGAATTAAGGATGCCAACAAGATTACGTATTTGAATAGGAATTCCTACAATCTCTGCTCAGAGGTGAGTCAAAGGAATATTTTGGCCAAGATTCTTTTTTAAAACGATTCTGAATCCAGTCAATGCACAGTTACACTACATCATCAAGGCTCACATTTCTGTTCCATAATTGGGTGAAACATTAGCATGAAAAAACAGGTGTAACTGAAGACATGTCTCACACTGAACAAACCCAATCCTCTATTAAGCACACAAAAAAGAACCAGATTTTAGCAATGTTACTTCTTATCCTCTTTAACTATTTAAGAAACTTAAGAAATATACACCAAAGTATGACTGATGTTTCTTACTATATGGGTTATTAACCACCTATATGAGTTAAAAGTTGGGGGATATCATCTACCAAAAACAGTAACTATAGCTTTAGAGTATCTGAATCCTCTGGATCAATATTTAGATAAGTAGTTGGCAAACCGTGGCCTGGCAGCCACCTGTTTTTACAAATTAAGTTTTATTGGAGCACGGCCATGCTCATTTGTTTATATGCTGCCTATGACTGCTTTCGCTCTACAACAGCAGAGCTGAGTAGCTGTGATAGAAACCTTCTGGTCCAGAGAGCCTAAAATATTTACTATCTGGCCTTTTACAGAAGAAAGTCTGCCAACCTCTGCTTAAACAGTAGTAAAAGATGCAGGCTGCGATAATAAAATTTAATAACCATTATGTAAAATAATACTTGTCTATTCTCTACAGTCAAAGGATCTATATCTAGCTTATCCAAAAACAGTTTGGATTATTAAAGAACAAGTTTAAAAGCACAAGAATCAGAACATATTTCTGTTCTACCAAAATACATGTTATTCATTGTTATCAAGAGACCACTATTATCAACCCTGATTCCCCCGCCCCGCCCTTTTAATAGACAGGGTCTCACTGTCAGTTTGTCCAGTGATCACAGCTCAATGAAGATCCTCAAACTCGGGGCTCAAAGGATCCTTCTGCTTCAGCCTCTAAAGTAGCTGTGACTACAGGTGTGTGCTACCATACTCTGATCATTTTTAATTTTAATTTTAATTTTTTTTTGAGATGGAGTTTCGCTCGTTACCCAGGCTGGAGTGCAATGGCGCGATCTTGGCTCACCACAACCTCCGCCTCCTGGGTTCAGGCAATTCTCCTGCCTCAGCCTCCTGAGTAGCTGGGATTACAGGCACGCGCCACCATGCCCAGCTAATTTTTTGTATTTTTAGTAGAGACGGCGTTTCACCATGTTGACCAGGATGGTCTCGATCTCTTGACCTCGTGATCCACCTGCCTCGGCCTCCCAAAGTGCTGGGATTACAGGCTTGAGCCACTGCGCCCGGCCAATTTTTATATTTTTTTGTAGAGACAGGGTCTCACTGTGGTGTCCAGGCTGCTCTTGAACTCCTGCACTCAAGTGATCCTCCTGCCTCAGCCTTCCAAAGTGCTTGGATTATAGGCGTGAGCCACTGTGTCTTCCCCCTTACTCTCTCTTTTAACCTTTTATTGTTTTGTGATTAACCATCCGCATAGTAAGTTTTTAATTTAAATTTTGTTTTCAACTCTGATTATCAAAGAAGGATTTGAGAGTACAGTCTCTCTACAAGCCTCAAGTGTCAGGGGTCTATAACAAACTTACCTTGGTGCTGAGTCCTAACTTTACAGGGCAAGACTACTTTATTCTTAAAATATTTTCCAGGTGGTGATAAAACAGTACAACAAAGGTCTGCATAGCATAGCTGATGAACCCTACATATAAATGCTGGCCTAAAAAATATTCAAGCTTGCAGCACAAGCAAGAAATACTCTGGACAGATTTGTCTAATAAACTAACAGGTCTGTTATTTGAAGGGGAGTAAAGTGTTACCTTTAAAAAGTGTCTTAAAGAAAGTAAATTAAGTAAGAACTGGAGTTCAGTCTTCAGAGAGATCATTAAGCAGCTCTGAGGAATTTTGATCTTTTCAGGTAGAGCTTTTCAATCAGCAAAACAATGTGAAGGGGTTACTGGAATTCAGTCATGAGCAGCATGGGAAAAATAAAGCTTCTAGGAGTGAAGCCTGGGACTGAGGCTTCACAGCCTCACTCCAATGAGTTCTTCAGAGTTAATGGTCAGACCTTTTTTTCCTGGTATCTCATAATCCTTGTCAAATCAGTTATTAGGCGGCTGTGACCCATATTTGCTGTGATCATTGCAGTTACTGAGACTAAACTATTCATACAGTGGTTTTTTTTCAGTTAGGAGATCCAGGTAGCTTTTCCACCATAAAGAATGTAGACAGAACTCTTCAAGAGGAGTTACAGTTACTCAGTACTCTTACTCACCTGCTATTCAACACTCCCAAGATTTCAAAGATAATGAGCTCAAACATGGTGCAAGAAAATGCAAACGTCACGGAGAAGATCACCTGTACGACGTACTGACGCACCTGTTAAAAGCCAGATAGAGACGAGAAGTTATTTCCTTGTTTAAAAACTGAACTGATAACCTCCTTCTGGTTCCACGTCAGAAAGCTTATTTTGAGGAAATTCTCAAGTCATCAGAAATACGGCCACAACAGCAATTTGCCTGGAGCTAAAGAAAAAGATCAAAGTAGGTGGCACTTCTGAGTCTTGAGTCACTATTACCAGCATCCTCTTGTGGATCGAGAATTTTGAGCACAAGAAGATGAAGTGACAGGGTCAGAAGTAGCACTTAGAATTCCTGATGCACACTGACAAAAAAAAAAAAAATGACACTTGTATATAAGGGTTAATCTTCAGAGGGGTTCTTCAATACTCTGCAGATCCTGGATCAGTTCTGGAACCTCCGTGGAAGTCCTTAAAGTACTGGGCAGAAGAAAATCTGCAGAATCCCGGGCTCTTTCAGACAATAAACTCCCCAGAAAAGTTTAATGGAGAATATTCAAGAAATATAACATCCGAGAAATAATATAACACCCAAAGGTATACGATAACCACTGATCTTATTATAATTAGGAAATGTCCAGTCTAGGGTGGTGATCTTCTGAATCCAAAGCTTAGGATAAGAACAAGACCAGCCTTAGGATTTTGGTATTAACTTAGAACGTAAGACTGGCAATTCAGGGCCAGATAGACAAATGAAAGGGAGCATCTGTGAGACATTATGAATTCAATTCTCTCCTATAGAATTCTCTCCTATTTGCTCTGGTGAATATCCTGATATGACTAAGGCATGATATTCCTTGCTCCTAGCTTCTCGCTAAATGTGACTTGCCTTTCCCCCCACTTTTGAATCAATTAAGCCTAATTATATTCTCCAATCTAATAGTTATATAGTACTTATTTGGCAAAAGCTTCCTATCTTGGAAATGAACATAATGTTTCTTTAATGGAGGCATTTTTCTTGCCCCAATTTAAAACAATCTAAATTCATACAGTGTAAGTATAACAAAATGATATTTCTTCTCACCTCATAGTCCTTAAACAATTGGCGCATGAAGAAAAGCCACCCAAATCCAAAAAACAGTATCTGGAGGAGAAAGACAGAATGTCAATACATATTTTCTTTTGAGAAATGTTTTATAGAAACTCTTTTAAGATAAAAGGTCTAACTAGGCAGTTAACTTATTTCAGGGATTAAAGATAAGATCCACTCTTATAAGACCTACTTATTACAGCTCATAACAGTAGAAATAAATGTTTAAATGCTCTTGGATGTTGGAAGTTATCCATGTTACAGAGTGTGCTTTAAGTAAGACAAAAATAGAAGTACATATTTTCCCACAATATTATTGAAGAAATGTGTTCTCTTTCCGGGTCCACAAGGGAACGTAGTTTTAAGGGCAAGAACTTCCAGCACCACGACCATGCCCCACCTCTCCCACCATCTCTCTCCCTCCGGGAGATTTAACAGTCTCTGTTTTAATTTTTGCGGGCGAGGGAAGAATCAAAAAGTCAATCACTCCAGCAGAAGATCTAAGGACCTTCTTTCATTGGCCAGAGGTCTAGGAGAAGGTGGGGGTTTCTCCCAGGTTAAAAGTCCCCTTCTTGCGCACCCCTTTGGACTCCATGTTTGGATTCCCTTCCACTCTCCTGGAAGCTGTCTTTCTCTCTCCTGGTTTTCCCCTCTGGAGTCCCCTTGCACACTCTTCGTGGAAGTTCTCTCTCTTCTTTTTTTAACCTAAATAATAACTTTTCTGCAACACTTCTTGGGGCTGGTATTTACTTTACGAGCTTACCGCGCACCTGCCGTGGTCCCCTCTCATTCTTGAGAGGGCGAGAGACCAAAAAACTACAATATTCTCTCGGGGGAGCTCTGCCTCCCCGGCACCCCAAAACCCAGTTACATTATGATAATTATTATATGAGCCACAGAAGTTCGCAAACAGAAAAGGAGTCAGTGGCCAGGCACAGTGCCTCACACTTGTAATTCCAGCACTTTGGGAGGACAAGGCGGGCAGATCACCTGAGGCCAGGAGTTCGAGACCAGCCTGGCCAACCTGGCGAAGCCCTGTCTCCACTGAAAATACAAAAATTAGCTGGGCGTGGTGGTGCGTACCTGTAATCCCAGCTACTCCAGGCTGAGGCGTGAGAATCGCTTGAATCTGGGAGGCGGAGGTTGCACAGCTGGTACTGTGCCACTGCACTCCAAAAAAAAAAGAAAAAAAGAAAAAGAAAAGGAGTCCAAGTGAGATTTGCTTCTTATGGAAGATCCTTGATTGCAAGTATTTAAAAAAAACACCTTGGGAGGCCGAGGCGGGTGGATCACGAGGTCAAATGATCGAGACCATCTGGGTCAAAATGGTGAAACCCTGTCTCTACTAAAGATACAAAAAATGAGCTGGGCATGGTGGCGAGTGCCTGTAATCCCAGCTACTCAGGAGGCTGAGGCAGGAGAATTGCCTGAACCCAGGAGGCGGAAGTTGCGGTGAGCCGAGATCACGCCATTGCACTCCAGCCTGGGTGACAAGAGCGAAACTCCATCTCAAAAAAAAAAAAAACATCATCCTGGCCAACATGGCGAAACCCTGTCTCAACAAAAAATATACAGAGACATAAAAATTAGCTGGGCATGGTGGCGGGTGCCTGTCGTCCCAGGCCCCTGGGAGGCTGAGGGGGGAGGATCACCTGAGCCTAGGAAGTTGAGGCTGCAGTGAGCCATGACTGCACCACTGCGCTTCATCCTGGGCTACAGAATGAGACCCTGTCTCAAAAAATAAATAAAAATAAATTAATTAAAAGAATAAAAACTTCATGAGTGAGGAGTCGAGACCAAAATTAGAGGAGCAGTAGAAAGCCTAATATTTTTTCTCCGTATTTCCTTCAGAGTTTTCTTAACTTCTCCGCCATCCTGCTTAATCCACGTAAAGTGGTTTCATCTCGGTGTAAAGCCAAGGGATTGCAGGATCCCTCTCTTGTCAGCTTTGTTTCAAACTGGCAGAGACCATAGCCACATGACAGCTGGTGAAGCTGGTGTGTAGTAGATAGAACCTTCTATACATATACACACACTGACACAACTACTTTTTTCTTCTTAGACTGGCTAGGACCTTTATGAATAAAATGATTTTATGCCTTCCTAGGGACTAGTTGATTGAGCAAGTGTAAACTCAGAAGCTCAGCACAGACTAGGTTGGTATCAAACTAGTCTACCCAGCCCTGCCTACCAAACTCATGTGTTCAGCCCCCTGGAACTTCCTGTGGTTCTTTAGACCCATATTCCTTCCCGTTGAGACCTCTGACAGGAACTGCTCTCTAGCCCTCTCCCAGTTATCCTATTTACTCCCTGGGGAAGGTCTTCTCTGCCCTCCAAATACAGATAAATTGCTCTTTTTATATAACCCTATGCTACGTTGTACTTCCCTCATCAAAGTGCTTCCCATACTGTTTTGTGAAGCCTGATTTTAATATTTTTTGACATTAGATTATAAGCTCTATGAGGACAAAACCCATGTTTGTCTTGTAGTTTTTGTATCCTTAGCATCCAGCACAAAGCCTGGCACATAGCAGGTGCTCCTTAAGTGCTTACATAAAAGATGGTTTATTCCTCAGCATTCAATCTTCAATTTTCTGTAATAATTCCCCTGTGCTATGCTAGGTGCTGGAGATACAAAGATGAGTAAGACGGTTACTCCCCTCCAGAAGCTCACAATACAGTGAAGACACTACATAAATAATTATAACATAACCTGGATGTGCAATGATAGAGATACATACATGATACTGTAAAACAACATGAAAGAGGGAGACCAAAGCAATCTGTAGGGGCTAGGGCAGATTTTCTGGAGAAGGTAATGCCTGAGCTGAAGGAAGTTTTAATTTGGGGTTAAAACCTGATATTGTATGCAAATTTTGGGATTATGTGTATTCCAAGGTATTCGTCACACACTCAAAGGTTTCCACCACCCCTAACATATTAAAAACCACCCTCTCAAAGGATAAGTAAGAATCAGGTATGGAGGCTGGACATAGTGGCTTGTGCCTGTAATTCCAGCACTTTTGAGAGGCCAAGGCGGGTGGATCGCTTGAGCCTAGAGTTCAAGACCAGCTTGGGCAGGATGATGAAACCCCATCTCTACAAAAAATAACAAAAATTAACTAAGCTAATTTTTGGTAGTGCATGCCTGTAGTTCCAGCTGATGGGGAGGCTGAGGTGGAAGGGCCACTTGAGCCTGGCAGGTGGAGGCTACAATGAGCCGTGAGCATGTCACTGCAATCCAGCCTGGGGGACAGAGCAAGCCCCTGTCTCAAAACAAAACAAATGAACAAATAAACAAATCAGGTAGAGAAAAGACTGGTGGTGGGGTAGGGGGACAGGACTTTCCAGATAGCAAAGGGCATGAGTAAAGGCACAGAGTTAATGGCATGGTATATGCCGGAAACTACACATGGTTTGGTGCTGCTAGAAGATGGAATTCAAAGAAGGAAGCGGTTAAAAATGAGGCTAGACAGGAGGAGTGGATGTCCAATCACTAAGAGCTCCGAAGGCCACCCTAAGGAGCTTAGATTACAGTCTAAGGTGGTGACGGTTGTCTGATATGTCATGCAGAGCAGTATGGTGGCTGTGTGGAAGACACATTTGAAGGAAACAACATTGTAGGAGGAGAAACATTATGGAAACGTGATATGGGAGTTCAGAAGAAAGATGATAAAGCCCTGAATTAAGACATTTGGTGACAGGAGAGGAGACAACAGATCTGAGAACTGTTTAGAAGGTAAAATCAGCAGAGAGAAGTCAGGGATGACTAGTTTGGAATATGAGTTGAAGAGTGAAGCTACCCAATTTCTATAAAGAATATTGGAGGAAGTAGAGATTTAGGAAAGGGGGCAGAGGATGGGAAATAATGAGCTCAGTTTTGAACACACTAAGGGCCTGAGGGACAGCCAGCAAGATGGGTCAAGATATCCAGCAAGCATGTGAATAAAAGAAGGATTGTGAAGGCATGTAAGATATACCTACGAGCTG